TATATATATATATATATATATATATATACATACATACATACATACATATACACACACACACACACACACACACACACACATCAATTAATCAATTGATTAAAAAAATAACTAATTAAATTGCATATTTTTCTGTAATTAATCGTGATTAATTGCACCTAACATTAAAATCTGTAATCATAAATGGTATATAAATAAATGAAAATAGTATATATGTATTAGGGCTGTCAGTTTAACGCATTAACTTAATTATGAAAAAATAACGCGATTAAAATATTTTAACGCAGTTAACGCTCTGGCCCCGCCCCCAGACCTGTACATCGTCTTACATTTCATTCAGGTGACTGTTAACAAATATGATGCAGGAAAACAACTCCATAAATGCAGTTATGCCCTAAACTTCAAGATATTGGTGCAAAAAATGCCCCTGTATGAGTTTTGTCTCATATTTATATATATCACATATGACAGCAGCGAGAGCAATATCACAGGAGTGCTGATTTTGTCCCGATCTATCACGAACTTAAATGTGATTTTATACAACAGTTCAGTAAATAAGTTATTATTTTGTTATATTTTAAACACAATATTATGTTTTTGCTCAATTTTGCAGAGAACATTACATTTAAAGCCACAGCAGAATTGTTGTGCGTCTCCGAGCAACACAGCGGCGTTTCGTTTCGTTTTGAACGAATCGTGTGAATCAATGATTCAAAGACCCATTCATAAAGAGAGCCGTTTACTTCATTCCTGCATGAATCAGCATCTGCTGGCATATTCCGTTTGTTATTTACAGTATCATTTAATTTCATTAAAAAAATAAATAATAATTATAAAAACATTAAAGGGGATAGTTCATCCAAAAAAAAATTGAAATTCTGTCATCATTTACTCACCCTCATGTCGTTTCAAACCTTTCTTTTGTGGAACATAAAAGAAGGTATTTTGAAAACTTTCATTGAATGAACAAAAAATAGAGGTTACTGATATGTTTCTAAAATTATCTTCTTTTATGTTCCATAGTTTATGTTAGGCCAGTGCAGCCTAAATGTGTATGTGTAATAAATTTTATGTTGAAACAAGTAAAATATTTATTTCTAAAGCTACAATTTGTCATGTCTACTTCATACTTTCTCATTTAACACAAAAATAGCTTTAAATAATCTTTAGTGGGTATTTTCAGTCAAATTTATTTTGCGATTAATTAATCGAAACATCATGATTAATTAGATTAAAAATTGTAATCGACTGACAGCCCTAATATATATATATATAAATCCTACTAATTAAATCGCATATTTTTCTGTAATTAATCATGATTAAATCACACCCAACATTAAAATTTGTAATCATAAATAGTATATATACAAGTTATAGAAACAATGCACAAATTAAAAGCTAATGCTATGCATTGTGTAAAAAGGGTTCAAATATAAACTAGGCCTGCACAATTAATCTAATTCCTAATCGCGATTACAATCACAGATGCCACAATTACGAAATCATTCAAAGTCCACTTATGTTATTCTGCGTGCATAAGATGTGTTTTTGTCATTCTTCAGGTTATCTTAAGGGTTTTTCCATCGTTTTAATTTTCGTTTTAGTATAACATATTTTCACTTTTTTTTATTTAAAGAAGAAACCAATCGGACGTATAGTTGACATTTGGGGCTTAATGGTATAGAAAAGCAATAAAAGTTTTTCAGTTGGAGTGTTTTCAGCTTGATTATTTTCATATAAAAATATGGCATGCAGTTGCTTCAAACAATTGTATAAACATGTAATTTGTAATGTAAATTGTGATAATCATAACTAATAATCGCAATTACAATTTCAAGGGAATAATCGACAATTATGATTTTTATCATAATCGTGCAGCCCTAATATAAACATTTAAACTGTTTAAGTTAAAATATTTACACCCCATTACAATAATCCCTTTATAGTTACTGTTAATGAGTTTACTTATGTTACATGTAGCATTTTAAAATGTCTTCTGATGACTTGGTTTGTGCACTTGCGCTCCGTCTGTGTCCTCTAGCATATTTCAGATGTGTTTTGTACACAGAAGTGTGTTATTCAGGCCTGTGAAGTGACGTAATCGATAATCAATCAATTATAATGAAAATAATCAGAATTTAAATATTTCAGTGATAAGTAACAGCATTTCACAGATGCTTTCGAAACGTATTTATATTTGAATAATTAATGACGATTATTTTCATTATTATTGATTATCGATTATTATGCATTTCATTGACTAGTTGTTGCTTTCGGTGATAAATAACATCAGGTCACATCTCAATAGTGTGCATTTAAAGGGACATGACATGACATGAAAACAGAAAAAGACTGATGAAAAACTGAACCGTAACACCACACACATCTATATTATTTGTGAATGAAGCCTAAACAGAGTTTGCTTTTGTGCTCTCACTGCATAGTGAACAAACCTCAGAGTCCGTAAAGATGCAAACCACGATCTCTGAGCTCGAGAAAGCTTCAGGTAAGATCTGTTACGCAACGCACATCTGGAGCAGGAAGGAGAACAGAGAGAGAAATGGGGCAGAGGAGCAGACAGACTAGAAAGGAGAATAAGAAGTCAAGCAGATCTGAGTAAAGTAAACTATGAGGAAGAGGAGGAGGAGGAGAACGGCCCAAACTACTGAATGCAAGATAAAGACAAATGCACCACATTTGCTCACCCTCATGTTATTATAGACCCATATGATTATGTTTCTTATGTGAAACTCAAAAGAGCTCATATTTGATTTCAGCGCTTCTGTAATTCATGAATTTGAGTATATTCCTCACACAAAGCATCATATGACTTCAGAAGACTTGGAATACACTGCACAAGTCTAATAAGTCTAAATAATTTTACTGTTGTATGGAAAACAATTATGATTTTTCCTTTCATGTTCCAGGGAAAAAAAATTGCAAATGGGTTTGAAACAGCATGAGGGTGAGTAAATGATGACAGAAGGTTCATTTTGATTATTTCTATTTCTACCTGTCCCTCCTCCTGTCTATTGGCACAGGGCTGACTGAAAGCCTGGTCTGGGCGGAGATGGAGCCCTGTGATTGGCTGCTGGTGAAGGAGGCGGAGTCCAGAGGAGAGAGGGGCGGAGTTACCAGACTGGGGTTGCTGCAGTCCGAGTGTGACAGAGATCCTGAAACACACAATTTGTACAATTATTGGTACATCCATCACTCATGTAACAGCACAGGAAGCATGGTGTAAATCAGAGAGATCAGCACCTCTATCAGAGCCGTGAGCGGATCGCGCGTAACGAGGGGTGGAGGGAATCTTAATGCGCTGCTCGCGGTACTGAGACAAACCTACAGACACAAACACAACCATTATCAATCACAAGTGACAGACTTCAGATTCATCCACAATTACTGACTACAGACTTGAGATAATATATATATATATATATATATATATATACATACATACATACAT